TCGTCTCTTGTGTTATTGGAAAAGAGTGTTTGCTATGACCAGCTTGTTCTCTTGACAGAACTCTATTAGCCTTTGCCCTAATTCATTTTGTACTCCAAGGCCAAACCTGCCTGTTGTTCCGATTATTCCTTGACTTCCCACTTTCCCTCATGATGAAAAGGACATCTTTTATGGTGCTAGTTCTAGAAGGTGTTGTAGGTCTTCATAGAACTGGTCAACTTCAGCTTCTTTGCTATCAGTGGTTTGTGCATAGACTTGGATTACTGTGATGTTGAATGGTTTGCCTTGGATTCGCATGGAGAATATTCTGTTGTTTTTGAGGTTGTACTCCATTTCTTCTAAGGGTTGCTTGCCCACAGTAGTAGAGATAATGGTCACCTGAATTAAATTCACCCATTCCCATCCATTTTAATTCACTTATTCCCAAGATGTCGATGTTCAATCTTGTCATCTCATGTTTGATCACATCCAGCTTGCCTTGGTTCACAGATCTTACATTCTAGGTACCTATACAATATTGTTCTTTACAGCATCAGACCTTCTTTTCCCTTCCAGATACATCTACAGCTGAATGTCCTTTCGGCTTTGGCCCAGCCGCTTCACTCTTTCTGGAGCTACTTGGAATTGCCCTCTGCTCGTCCTTTTTCTGCTTTTTTCCCTGTCTTCAATATTGTTTAGGTCCTCCTAATAAATTTTCCCAGGTCTTTCCTTAGAAGCATGAAATTTTGGGGCAAGGATATCACCAATTTTTGATTTATGAAATGAATTATGACTATTGCTGTACTTTAATGTTCAACCATCAACACAACTTTATCTTCCATCTTGTAAGGTATTCAAGAAATTGGTTTATACTAGGTCTTGGGGAGTACTTTCAGAAATTCAAAATGTGTGTCAATCAACACATACATATTGGAAGGATTTTTCCTCCTCTTTTTGGAAGAAAACGTTTATATTCTTGTCTCTCCCCCCAACATACATTTAGCTAGCATATGGATCAGCTGCATTGATGAATAATGAAGCAGAAACAGTTTTCTTCAAATGGATGTTCCCAGATGAGATCCACCAATTTAATGGCATATTACACTTACTGTTGCATTTCGGATGGACCTGGGTTGGGTTAGTTTACTTTGATGAGGAAGATAAAGAGAGATTCATTCGAAATAGGCTTTCTATGTTTTCTGAGAGAGGGATC